AGTAAGTCAGTAAGTCAGTCAGTAAGTAAGTCAGTAAGTAAGTCAGTAAGTCAGTAAGTCAGTAAGTCAGTAAGTCAGTAAGTAAGTCAGTAAGTAAGTAAGTAAGTAAGTAAGTCAGTAAGTCAGTAAGTCAGTAAGTCAGTAAGTCAGTAAGTCAGTAAGTAAGTAAGTAAAGTTTTATTTACATAGCACCTTTCATAGAAATAGATTCACAAGGTGCTGTACAATCAGAGGCAAATCAAAATATATACAATCAGAACAGGAYATACAAAAATTTGGAACAAAAAAGTATAAAAGCTGTACAACCATCAAAGTATCAAAACTGTGCAATCTGAAAAATAAAACAAGTAAATAATATCTAGACAAAAATGGGGAGGGCAGAGTAAAACATTAACACATTAAGATGAAGGATTTTTAAATCAGAAATTAATTTTGAGGCAGGTCTCCGAATGGGTAGATTGTGGAGTACAGGTACATTTTAGAAAAATAAATTTTTGATAAATTGAAATGATTTTGGATGAAAATACTGGCTGTTTGACATATATTAATATGATGAATTGTACGGTCGGTAGGTAGGGTTTGGTGAAACAGACACTAAAAGGTCAGGCTGCAGAAAAATGCTGAAAGTAGTTAAAAGCTTGTTTAAAGAGGTGTGTTTTCAGATATTTCTTGAATGAATCAAGGCTTTCAAGTGTGCGCAGGTGGATAGGAAGTTCGTTCCAGAGCCTGGGAGCCATGGAGGAGAAGGCTCGGTCACCACGGGTCTTGAGACGTGTGGGGAACCATTAGGAGATGTTGATCCTGTGAGTGTAGGCTGCATTTGGGGTTGTAAGGGGAGATGAGACTTTTAATGTAGTCAGGTGACTGGCCATTGAGAGCTCTGAAAGTRAGGACCAGGATTTTGAACTTGATTTGAAAATGAACAGGGAGCCAGTGAAGTTCTGAAAGGATCGGGGAGATGTGTGAGAATTTTGAAGTTCAGGTTAAGAGTCTTGCTGCAGCGTTTTGTACTAGCTGAAGGCGATTTATCTGTTTCTGGTTCAGACAGGTGAATTTAGTAAAGTGAATCCAGCTGAAGCAACCAATTCTTAGACTTATAATCATTATGCTGTAAACTATTAGTGTAAATAAAACAAAATAAATTATTAATATTAATTTTAAACTTTAGATTATTCAAGTTTTTACTGCGTAAAAACACGCCACAGCTGTTTGATATCTATGGTTGCAAGTTTGTAGCGAGCCACTAGAGGGAGCTCTCTGACAGGCGACATCATAGAATTTGATGGGCCTCAAGATAAGGAAGACAGTTAATTTTTTTTAAACGATAACTGTGGGAAAAGATGTTCCTTTTTGGAAATATCTGGACTAATTCATGCAATTCTGGACCTGTTTCTAAAACAAAAGAGTGATATTGGATGAGTCATTATAGCTGTCAAAATATGTGATTTTTCTGTTTTTGTATTTGAAATTCTATAATTTTTATATTGATAAATGACTTTTGAGGGGTTAACATAATTTATTCATTAGAGTTTTTGTAAAAATGGCATTAGAAAACAGCAAATGATCTTCACTTTTCTTTACAACTATTAAAAAATGATTAATTAAAGAAATTCTGCTGTCAGAGTTCAGAATATCTCGGCACAGATCATTTGAATATGATCTTTTGAGCTCCGTTGTCAGGTAGCCATGATACCAGAGCCTGTCTGTATAATGTCTTGTGACGTCCACGGCCTACCCCAGTTACCACTACTGTGCATGTGTGTCAAGGACAGAAAGGCAGATGTGGCAGTGGAAGGTGTCAAAGCAGTTTGGAGAGAAAAACAAAGTAAAGAACAAAAAAAAGAAAAAGAAAATGATTAATCGATTATTAAATTAGTCATCGATTATTTTAATAATCGATTAGTCGCCGACTAATCGTGGCAGCCCTACAACAAGAATATCTCCAGAGTCCTTCTCTACTCACAACACACACTCTTAATGCTGACACAGTTGAGATCTGGCAATTCTCCACAGAAAATGATCTTGGTGTAAAAGTCTGGCGTGAAAGATGACGGATAACATGCACTCCTTCAGGGAATGCTAGGCCTTTAATTTGTTCTTCTCAGTTTTATCTCTGTTCGTCATGGAGACATATTTCTCAACGCTAATCCTTTAAACTCAGCCTCTCTCTCAGCTCTGCAGCTGCAATGATGAAGATGACAATCTGACAGCAGTGATTTAGGAATTAAACACGTTCAGTGTCCACTTGTGTTTTACTAAGTTACAGAACAGGTCTGAGTGAAGATCTGATGGAAGTGTGTGTGTGTGTGTGTGTGGCCTTGCTTTTCCTACATCGTAGGGACAATTTTACAGAAAAAGCAGCATCGTGGGGACCAATGCAAATTACAAAGGTATTAAAACGGTTAATTTTAGGGTAAATGGTCAGGGTTAGGCTTTAAAACTTACAACAAATGAATGGAAGTCAATGCACGGTGCCCACGGGGATACACAAACCAGACCTGTGTGTGTGTGTGTGTGTGTGTGTGTGTGTGTGTACTTGTTTCTGCTACAGCATGAGGACCACTTGCAAAATAAAAGTGAGGTCTTTCTTGTAAAATAAGGACCTTGTCCCGGTCCTCACTTTATTTGCAGCTCTGCTGTGCTTTACTAGTTAGCTTTAGAGGTTTGATGTGAATTAGTTTTGGTTCAGGTTAGAGTTAACAATAAACAAGTAATGGTTAACTTTAGGGAAAATGTCTGGGTTAGGCATAAATACAGTTACAAAAATGAATGGAAGTCAATACAAAGTCCTCAGTTTGATGCAAGAACAAGGGTGTGTGTGTGTGTGTGTGTGTGTGTGTGTG